GGCTATGAGGTCCAGCGTGTTTGTCCCGATAAATTTGAAGTTCGCGACAAAGACGGCATCTTATTCCATGTTGATTTGACGTACAAGACTTGCAGCTGCGCCGAATTCCAAGTCTTGTTCATTCCATGTCATCATGCAATTGCTGCAGCCGTGACTACAAAAGTCCGAGTTGATTCCCTGGTGGAAAAGGAATACAGCTCAGCGTATCTACAAGAATCATATGCAATAGCTATAAATCCAGTCACACCTACAGGCTCTAGCCACAACTTAGCTGCTACTATGTCTGAACTTACCTTGTACCCACCATCAACAAGATCTCCACCGGGAAGGCCTAGGAAAAGGCGTTTCTTCTCACGTGGGGAAGTCCGGGTAAGAAAATATCAGTCTCCACAATAATAGTAAGAGAACATTGTACATACTAACATTATATTGTAATCGTAGGTGAGGAGCTTCAGGCGTAAGACAATTTGCAGTCGCTGTAAGTGACAGGGACACAACCGAGCAACTTGTAAGATGCCAACAAACTAAGATGGTGGAGAAAGGGGCAACGTAAGCGAACCAGCAGCACCTTGGTCTGCATCGTTATCTACCAAGTCTATGTTTAATACAATATCATCCCAGATGAGATATATGCCATAAAAAGGACAGGTCTAATAAGCTTGCCTCTACTGAATAATAAGTTGTATGATAAGAATTTCCTCTACAATGTGTAAAATTTATGTTGACCAAGCAATGAAGTATGAAAACCATCTACGGTTTTTCAAAGAAACAATTAACACCTTATGAACAGTTTTAGCCAGTTAAATTAAAAAAAGACATGTTACAGCCGACACAAATATCCGGTTAACAGAACAAATGTTTACTAATTTCGCAATATAACCCTTTAACTGTTCCATGCAACCGGTAATAAAAGTAGTTAACTGGTGCATATTTTCCATTATAAAGAATATTTGCAACATAAACCCCATTGGATCTTGAAAACTAACATGTTAACCGGCTAATATCTCTAACGAATAACCCAGCTATTTTTTAACATAATCTAATTTTATACTAAAAAACTGATCATTGTGTTGGGTGGAGTAGTGCATATTGTTTTTTGGAAAGAATGATGTTACAATTCCCTACGATGAGAAGATCAATCATGTAAGAAAATCGAACTGTGTTATCATCTACAGTTTTCCAAAAAAATAATTAAAACCATATAAACTGTGTTAGCCGGCTAAAAAAAAAAAAAAGATATCTTATAGCTGACAACAATCACTGGCTAACAAAACTAATGTTTAGTAATTTTGTAATATAACCCTCTAACTATAACATACAACCAATAATAAAAGTAAATATGCGGTGCTTATTTTTTCATTATAATGAACATTGGCCACATAACCCCCATTGGATCCTGACAACTAAAATGTTAACCGACTACTATCTGTAACGTATAACCCAACCATTTGTTTATATTATCTAAGTTTATACTAAAAAGATAGTGTCACACTTCACTAGGATGAGAAGAACAATCATATAATAATATCGATTTCAGAGTTAGAATAAATAGTTGATAAATACAAAACACAATCCGTTACATTAAAACAGTCATATGTAAGGTACAACACTAACAATAATCCACGCATGCAAGAACAAAAACTTAAGGCAAAGGTTTGTGAAAACAGAAACACAGAGACGAAGTTTTAGAACATATTAACTACCAGAAAACACTATTTCCTCTCATCCCCTACAACCGCTCATAGTTTTCCTCATACAGCATGATAGCTAACCTCTGCGCCTCCATTGGCAGAACAGCCGGAGTAATGCATCTGCACACTGCTAAATCTGCAAATGCATGGGCCTGCATCATCAAGATGGAAGTCACAACAGAGTCGGAGTGAATGCCATTCTGAGGTATTCCTTTGGCTCTCTCCACCGTGAATGGCTTGCATTCCCTACTACCTAGGTTCCGACCAGCTTGCTTTAACAAGAAGGGGAACATCTGTGCCAAGGGATTCAAATCCTTCAACAGGGCAGCGTCCCCTCGGAGACTGATGTTACAATCCAAAACATAGACAACGGAAGAATTATAACCAACACATACTCCAACCCAATGTTGCTTGTCGAAGTTGAATGGGAAGTAGAATTGTTCAGCACCATAGCTGTTTGCTTTGTCTTGGCAGAACATTTGAGTGAGGGACTTGGAAAACTTAAACTCTTCTTTTTTCACAGCAGCTGCAAACTTAGAGTAATTTTTGGACAACTGAGAGACAAATTTGGTGTCCAGAAACTCAACTTTCTTAGAAACAAGTGCTTGTTTGTTATGTAAAGACCGAGTGTGGTGCATCAAAACATCAACCATCTGAAAATTAGAAAATGAAATTAGAAACAAGAAGGTCTGCATCATTGAAATACTTTACAATCAATATCCAAATTACCTTCGTAGGCATGTTCTTTGTCCTCTCAGCAACCTCCAGGATTTCTTTAGCTGATATGAAAACACCGTGTACAGAGATGGTGCTAACAGAAAAAAGCAAAAAAATTTAAAAATGGCCAACTTTGACTTTGTACATACTTAAATTTATTGTTAGCTAACTTTTTTGGTATCCATATATAATAAATAAAAACAGGATAACTTTAAAATTAACCATCAGTAGTGGAACTTACAAATTACGTGTAACCTTCTCCAGAGTACCAAACTTTTGGCAGTAATCTCCGCCAACAACATCACCATACACAGACATATGAGCTTCCCTAGCTTGATGTACAATGCGCATGTCACACTGATAATCATCAACCAAGGACAGCGCAACAGTCTTCTGCCTTTTGCTCTTACGGCAAATGCCACCAATATCAGGAACTGATGGCTCAACAACCTCTGTTTCACAATCAGCATCTCCCTGTGATAATCCAAGGGAGAATGAAGGAATGGGACACAGTAAAAGGGTTTCATAGATCTGAAAACAATTGTGATTTCCAATCAACCAAAGTTACTAATAACACCCAAAAAAATCTATTTACCTTCTCTCCATTACTCCATTTACAACAGGCCCACATTCTAAAGCGGTACCCTGTAGAAGAAAAAACAACCTCTAGAAAAGCCAACCATCAAAAAACATAAGTTAAAAACAAAGACACTTACCATCTCCCCATTACAATCAACATCCATGCCACCACCTTCTCCCTGCATCAGACAACCATAAAAATCTAGCAAAACAACCTTATCGGGTTTACAATTGAAGCAAGGTTACCTCTACTCAAGTGTTGGTTTTTCCTAACTCCACATCATCTAGTGACACGTCAGCAACACCAATGTCATCCCCTTCCGTATCCTAAATTAAACATAACACTACAGTTAGCCATATATTCTAAGCTATTAGCCGCAATCACAGTTGTTATCCGGTAACAAAATAAAGTACATACCTCTGTAGCCGTGCTAAAATCAGGAATGTTGTTGTGGATTTCTTCCATGACAGAGTTGATAACTCGGTCAACCTCATCTGCTTGTTTACCTAACCCTGGAACAGGATTATCCCCAACTTTATTGGCATTGGGTGAGACACAAGTTTTACTGGTATGTAACACCGCCGCCTCACAACTAAGACCGCCAACACTCGTTCCCTTCTGACACAAATTCGTCCCGACATTTGATATATGCTCTTTCATAATGCTAAGCATCTGGTCAAACTCCTTATCAAGTCCATCAGTAATGTCCATCTCCAGCAAATCAAGCTTGCTTTTCAAAACTTCAATTTGTTGAATGCAAGAGTTAACTTGCAATCCCAAAACACTAAATTCTTCTTTCACTTTGCTAGATATTAACTCCGCAATCACATTGAATCACTATCAAAACATCCATTTCCATCAGTGTCAGCATTGCCTTCTTCCACACTAGCACCAGCTTTTCTTTGTTTGGCTTTAGCATTATTTTCCTCCTCTTCCTTACGCATCCGAATCACATCCGCTTTTGTCGCTCCACCAACAAACATTTCACTGTGAAATACACTTTCTTCGTTAATAAGTTTCACCATGTTCTCAACTTGTACATCTTCAGGCCAAACATAGGTACTGTCTGGAATCTCATTTTCGCCATCATCAGTAATGATGCAATCCACAGATGCCTGCCAGAAAAAAAAAAACAATAATAAAGATCTTTGTCCAACCTTACAGTTAACCAGACAACTAATTTGGACACATACACCTAATTTCTTATCCATCCGGTAACGTAATCTAGCTGCTAATAAAATAGTATGAAGAAAACAATATACATATCCTTTAAAAACAACCAATTACCTCAGCAGCGACATGTACATTTCTAGCATGCCCAGGACTCAGACTAATTTTGGTTGTCGGAGACTCTTTATCATCCTCTGTATCGTCATCATCTCCCGCTTCAGAGTCAGACGAAGAAGAGCAGTTAACCTGAACTACTTAGGTTAATGTA